TGTCGATTTAAAAGTAATTAGAACCCTAGGTTGTATCGTGAAACTCGTATGTTGGTACTCTTGATGTATTGGGCGGGAATTCGCATGATTGGGTGTTAATTATGTTTAGAAAAGCATGTTAGGATATGTGTCGTATGTTTCTTGATTTCGATCCGTTAATTGTCTACGTGTTGTTGTCAATTGCGTTTGAAAGTGTCTAAGCATGGTTCCGGGTTCCACAAAGGTTCCCGGGGCGTTTTTGGTGAAAAAGAGTCAGTGGGGGGTAGGTGGGGGTAGGGAACCCGCCACCTACCCGCGGCCAAGAAGGGCAGCCGGCGGGCGGGCAGCTGCCCGCCGGGCACCCGCTGCCCGGAACAGCACACGCCGGTGGGCAGCCGGCGGGTGAACGCTCACCCACCGGCTACCCGCTGGAAAATACCCCAACCCGGGATTTCGGCTTCCCCGTTTGATGTTCCCCCGACCCCCGTGGTGTCCTAACGGACCCCTCATATCGTGCCTATGTCTAGTTTGATGTTCGGGTACCATTCGTAGGTCGAATGAGTCTTGTATATTGCATGCTAGTTGGATTGGTACCCCGTTGACCTAGGTATAAGAAGTATGAACCCCTTAGGAGTATTCTTAGTTGTGTATGACCACGCATAGGTTTCGTTATACGATGTCTCCCCCTTCACAGTGTGCTAATGTGGGCTGCAAGTACTTGCTATGTGTTATGTGTGCATGTACCTCAATTTGGTTGTGATCAAATTGGTTATACTGGCAGTTGGATGAGTTGAGAACCATCCCAACTGTTAACCAGGCTGGTAGAGACCGGTCAGGTATATAAAGATTATATAGGACTGAGGTCCACTATACGGGCAGTTGAATGGGTTGAGAACCATCCCAACTGTTAACCAAGCTGGTAGAGACCGGTCAGGTATATAAAGATTATATAGGACTGAGGTCCATTATACGGGCAGTTGAATGGGTTGAGAACCATCCCAACTGTTAACCTGGCTGGTAGAGACCGGTCAGGTATATAAATATTATATAGGACAGAGGTCCACTATACGGGCAGTTGAATGGGTTGAGAACCATCCCAACTGTTAACCAGGCTGGTAAAGACCTGTCAGGTATATAAATATTATATAGAGCTGCGGTTAATCGGTCGGTTGCGATTGACCCCTCCGTGTTGTGAGACGGGGCAGGGTGCTGCGGGGCCGTGTCAGAGCTATATGCGCTGACCCTCATGTATGGGCATGCGATTGGTCCTGTGGCGCCAACAAAGTGTGCTATGTGATGAGTTGAGAAGGATTGACGTTGTGACTGTTATGGAAACGTGACCATAGGATTCTTGCTAGTAGACTATACATGTTTAATTATGATTGTTGATTGTGATATCTGTAACTGTGCCCTATGTTGAAGAATTATATATACCTGGTTATGACTGTGAATTGTGTGTACCCCTATTTGTCGAGTCGGTTCCCTGATTTGAAAGCTAGAGTCTCTTAGAATATATCTTCATGCTTCGAAATGACTTTTCGTATATCTATGTATATATCTATATGTATTGTATTTCAACGCGTTGGAGTGGGTTACCAGCATCTCTCGCTGAACAGATATATTTGGCTTTCAGGCACAGAAGAATAAGTCACTGGAGCACGCTAGATCTGGGAGCGTAGAAGTAGATAGTTTCCCTTTCGGCCTGCGTGCCATGTTATGCATTTACTTTATTAAGGATATTAGTTAGTTAGCCTGTGCACCTGAGTTCTCTAGCTCAGGTGTGGCATAGCATCCCGTACTCTTTATGTTACGTTTTTGGGAATTAATGAGACTTCACCTTTATTTTATAAGTTTTAAATGTTTTGAAAATCTGGGGTGTTACAGCACTCGTTCCCCCCTGTTTCACGATTTTTTCCCCTTTTTTTTTTTTTAAGGGAGATAAAATGCATGAGAACCAACTTTGTAACAAAAAGGTCCTGCGCATAAGGTGTTCTGTAATATGCGATTTTATTCCGACTATTGCCGCTCACTAAGACATTATTAGGGGAGGGGAATGGTCCTCCTCCTAAAATAGCAACGCCAAGACCCACCTCTCACGTGGTAGGTCTACTGGTAAAATTTCAGCAGGTGCTCTGAGTTCCAGACCCTGGCTATCATCTTTTCTTTGGGAGTTTTGAGCTTGTAGCTGCCCGGGCGGACCACGGCTGCTATAATGTACGGGCCCTCCCAATTAGGGGCAAACTTTCCTCCGGCTTGGGGCTGGCTCGCTTCCCTTCTCCTGAGCACATAGTCACCTACTTGGAAATAGCGGGGTCGGACCCGCTTATCGTGGTATGCCTTGGTCTGCCTCTGGTAGTTTTCAGCACGAATCGCGGCTGCTTCGCGCCTGTCATCAATCATGTGGAGGTCAATTCTATGGTGCTCCTCGTTCATGTCAGGGTCGTAATCTTCCTCCCGCCTGGAAGGTATGACTACCTCCGCTGAAGCTCGGGCTTCGAAACCGTAGGCTAAGGAAAAAGGTGTTTCCCCAGTAACCCTCATTTTCCACCTGGCCATTTGCTTGAGGGTAGCATACTGCTACCCGGTTGTGAGTAATGTGCCATTCTGCACAGAACCCCTCGAACTCTTGCCCCTTGAATTGGCGTCCGTTGTCGGTGATGAGTTGCATCGGGACCCCAAAATGGCACAAAATATTTTTGTACACAAAGTGCTTGCAACGGGCACTAGTTATGGTTCCCAGTGGTTCCGCCTCTACCCACTTGGTGAAGTAGTCCACTGCTACTATGAGGTACTTCCTTTTTCCCGACCCCATGGGCAGAGCTCCCACTAGGTCCACTCCCCACCTGGAGAAGGGGATGACCGAGCTGATGGGGGTGTAGCTCGTGGCTGGCCGGCAGGGGGTGACTTTGAAGTGTTGGCAGGTCTCGCAACCCCGGGCATAGTTGGCGCACTCCTTGGCCATTTTGGGCCAAAAGTACCCCTGTAAGATGGCCCTCCGGGACATGGCGAAGGCCCCCTAGTGGGCTGAACAGGTCTCTTCGTGGATTTCTTCCATGACTGACTTGGCAGCGCAGCAAGGCGCCGTTATAGGACCTCTTGTAGAGTGTGTCCCCCATGACCACATACGTGGGGGCTCGCCGTTTCACCAGCTTGGCGTCAACCTCGTCGGGAGGTAGCGTTCCTGTCTTCTTGTACTCCTTGAGGTGGTCCAACCAGTAGGGAGGTCGGATTTGCACGGGTAAGATCGGGTAGGCGTCCAGGCTCGACCTTTTGAAATCTTCAATTCGGGCTATTTTTGAGATATATTCCGGGGCCCCTTGGGCGAGCTTGGATAACATGTCAGCATCTGTGTTCTGGTCTCTGCGTACCTGTAGGACCTCATAATTGATCAGCTGCCCCAGTAGCTGGAGCACCACGTCCCGGTACCTCCTCATTCTTTCATCACTTGCTTCAAATTCACCTGTGACCTGTCCCACCACGAGACTAGAGTCACATCGGATTTTGAGTTTTTCCACCCTCATATTTAGTGCGAGGCGGAGCCCTCCCAGGAGTGCTTCATACTCGGCCTCGTTGTTGGATAATTTGAACGCGAAGCGGAGGGTGTAGTAGGCCCGAAACCCCTCCGGTGTTATGAGGACGACTCCACCCCCGCAGCTTTTGGTGCTGGAGGACCCGTCCATTGAGAGGGTCCACCATTCCTCGTCTTCGTCCCTAACCCGCTCCGTTGCCTCCCGGGCAGTGCACTCGACTATAAAGTCAGCCAGCGCCTACCCCTTGATGGCGGGTCGGGGCTTGAACTGAATGTCGAACTGGCTCAGCCGCATGGCCCACCTGACCAGCCTGCTTGCCAACCCCGAAGCCCTTAGTACTGCGTCTAGCGGCTGGTTGGTGAGGACCTGCACAGGGTGGGCCTGGAAGTAGTGGTTCAGCATCTTTGTCGTCGCATCTACTGCAAAAATGGCCTTTTCCACGGGTGTGTACCTGATCTCTGCTCCCCGTAGAGCTCGGCTCGTGTAGTATACGGGCCGCTGGACCCCCTCGTCGTCCCGGACCAGCACGGAGCTGACCGCGGCCTGCGAGATGCCCAAGTACAGATATAGGACCTCCCCCTTAACGGGTTTGGCCAGGGGGGGAGCGACATCAGGTACGTCTTGAGGTCTTCGAACGCCTTCTGGCACTCCTCAGACCATTCGAAGCCCTTAGTCTTTTTTAGGACTCCAAAGAACGGCAAGGACTTCTAGGCCGACCTCGAAAGGAAACGGCCCAGGCTGCCAACCGCCCGTTGAGGCGTTGGACCTCACGGAGGGACCTCGGAGGTTCCATGTCCAGGATGGCCTTGACCTTGTCGGGGTTGGGCTCAATGCCCCTCTTCGAGACCATGTACCCCAAAAATTTCCCCCCTTGCACCCCGAAGGTGCACTTTTTGGGGTTCAACCGTAAATTGAAGCGTTGCATAATTGAAAATACCTCGGTAAGGTCATCTGTGTGGAGGTCGGCGTCGGTGCTCTTGACGATCATGTCGTCGACGTAGGCCTGGAGGTTGCGACCGAGGACCTGCTTGAACACCTTGGCCACCATCCGGGTGTAGGTGGCACCTGAATTTTTCAGTCTGAAAGCCATAACCTTGTAGCAATAGACCCCCTCTGGCGTGGTGAAGGCTGTCTTCTCCTCGTCAGCCTCCTCCATGAAAATTTGGTGGTACCCCTTGAACGCATCTAGGAAGCTCATAAGGGAACAACCTGCAGTCTCGTCCACCAGCTGATCGATGTTGGGGAGGGGAAAGGGGTCCATAGGGCAAGCCTTGTTGAGGTCGGTGTAGTCCACGCACATCCTCCAGGTGGGCGGCTTTGGGGCGAGGACTACGTTGGCCAGCCAGGTGGGGTATATGACCTCCCTAACATGACCAATCTCCAGCAGTGTGTCGACCTCCTTTTTGACGAACTCCCTCCTCTCGGCGGAGAAGTACCTTTTGCGCTACTGGATTGGCCTGACCGCGGGGTCGACGGCCAACTTGTGTGTGTTCACGTCTCAGCTGAGGCCCGGCATGTCCTCGGGACCCCATGCAAAGACCTCCTTGTAGCTCCCGGGAGGCCGACCCCTACCTTCACAACCCGGTCGGGTCGGCTGAGGTCGAGGATGACCTCTTCTGTCTCGACCACGGGCTCGGCCCGAGGTCGACCTACCTCCTCCCGAAACGCCTTCTCGGCGATGGTATGTACCTGGAGGTCCTTTTGACCAATCTGGCGGCACGCCTTCAAGTAGCAGCTGCGGCTTACCTTTTGGTCCCCCCGGGCGACCCCGACCCCAGCTGGTGTCGGGAACTTGAGGCACAGGTGTTCCATGGAAATTACGCACCTGAGGTCTTCTAGGGCGGGTCGACCGAGTATGATGTTGTGGGCGCAGTTGATTTTCACGACTGCGAACTTGACTTCCCACCTCCTGGTGTGAGGTGGCGTGCCTATCTCCACCTCCAAATTGATCGACCCCTCCGTTTCAATTGAGTCCCCCATGAACCCGGATAGGGGGGTCCGTATCGGCTCCAGTTGTCCTCTTGAGAGTCCCAGCTGGGTGAACGTGTCGTAGTACATGACGTTCACCGAGCTACCCGTGTCTACGAGTACCCGGTGCACTACCACGTTGTTGATGTCCAGCTTGACCACCAGGGCGTCTCGGTGGGGGAGGGGCCCATCTGGCAGGTCGGCGTCGGTGAACGTGATGGGCTCCCTCTTTGGTTTCTTCTCGTGGGGGGTACGTGTGACCTCCCCTACGTACAAGCTCCTCGCCCACCTCTTTCGCTCGGCTAGCGACTCCCCTCCCTCGGGCCCCCCAAAGATGACGTAGATGGCCCGTTTCTTCGGGGGCTGGGAGTCCTCCGTCGTCTTCTCCTCCTCATCGGAACTGTGGTCGTGGTGGTCCCTCTTGCGGGGAGGAGCCGAGATGGATGGCGCCTGGCCACCCCCCTTCCGCCATACATTGCTCTGCTTCTGGCCCTGGGCCTGTTCCTGCCCCTGGCCGGGCTTCTTAATGAATTGGCCGAGGTAGCCCATTTGGATGAGCTGCTCGATTTGTCTTTTTAGGAGGATGCATTCGTCTGTATCGTGTCCTTTCTGCCGGTGGAACCTATAGTACTTGTTGGGGTCCCCTTTCGCCGATATCTTCATGCACTCCTCCTTCGGGAATACCACGATTCCCTGGTCCTCCGCGTGCGCCAAGATAGTACCTACGGGATGTGTCAGCGGGGTGAGATAGCGTGTGGGGTTCATCCTGGGCCCCTCAGCGTACTCACGTCGGTGTGGTCGGGGCGCCTTGCGCTCCTCCAGAGGTGCCTTGTCTGTTCGACCTCTTCCTCCTTCCTGCTCCTTCTTCCTTTTCTCGGCAGCCTCGGCGTCAGCGTAGGTCCTTGGGGGTTACCTGATGAGGTCCTGGTGAAAAGCCCCCGACCTCAAGTTGTTCTGGAAAATTACCATGGCCGATTTCGCATCAAAGTCGGCGACCCCAATGACCTCTTTCGTCCACTTGCTGAGGGACTCGGCTAGTGATTCCGAGCTCCCCTGCTTCAAATCACACATGTCGGCAATTTGTTTCTTCCGTTGTATGCTGGTGGCGAAATGGGATAGGAACTGCCGGGTGAGGTCCGCAAAGGTGGAGATGGACCCCGCTGGGAGGGATCCGAACCAATCATGCGCCTGCCCGTCCAAGGTGCGAAGAACCCCCTACACAGGATGGTGTCCGTTGCCTCGGTGATCATCATGGCGGCTCTGTACCTAGTCAGGTGTGCCCGTGGGTCCGTGGCCCCCGAGTACGCTTTAATGGTGAGAAAGCGAAAATCTCGAGGTAAGGGCTCCTCCATGATGGCGTTTGCGAACGGGGAGGACAACACATCCTGGGGCTCTGGAGATCCGTCCCTCTCGTCGACCTTTTTTTGGAGCTCGTCCATCCTCCTCCGCAACTGCTCGACCTCTGCTCGATGGGAGCTCGGAGCTCTACCATTCCGTTTCCCCTGATCGTTCGACCCGGGAGGCCTGTGCACGCCAAGGTGGGACTCGGGTCCCCCGTCCTGGTGACCTCCGGGTGGCTGATTGTCGTCGTGCCTGCCTGCGGGAGCAGGATTCTACTGGTGGAGGCTCATTAGCGGCAGGCCTCGGGCCGAACCTCTCTCGGGCTGGCACCCGGCTGCCCAACCTCTCCGTGGCGGGCCTGGTCTGGTTTGACCTCCTTCCGTCGTCCTCCTGACGTCGGTCGCGTCATGAGTCCCCTCCTCTCTGTGTGTTCGTCCGGCGGGGTGAATTGACCTCCCCCTGGGTGACAGGTGCCTGGGGTGGTCGGGTGCTTAGACCGTTGCGCCCCCGGGTGGGGGGAGGTTGGGGAGATGCAGGTAACCTTCGGTTGATGCCTAGGTCGGCAGGTATACGTGTCCGGAAGTCCGCCACGACTCGAGCCAACCCTGTGGAGTCTTGCTAGAAGACCGCCACCCCTTCCCGGATGAGGTCCAGGTCCTGAACAGGGGGGGGGGGGGCGGATTCAGGAGCTCCACCACTGCGGGGGTTGGTGAGCTGGGCCCTCAGATCTCCCCCCGACCTGGTGGCGGCGGCCGGTTGGATGCTGGGGGCAGGGGCCCCGTTGGGGCCGTTCCCATTCGCGACGGGCTGGGTGTCACGGGAACCGTTGGTGTGGTGAGAGTTGGATCTCGATCTTGTCATAGTAGTTGGTCGCGGTAGACCACTGGATATAGAACACGCTTGAGCTGGTACAGCAACTCTCAACAAGAGCACCAATGATGGATTTAATTAACCCGGGGGTGTGCCCAAATCAATAAATCCGGATAAGAATGTAATATAATAAGAATAATAAACGAATAATATAGAACGATGTCGTAAAGGTCGCTAGGGACCGTATATTATATTAATTGCCATAGTATTTGGCTATTACAAAGATCCGATAGGACAAAGTGTGTAATAAGTATAAAATATGTAATGAATCGCCCTTTGTTAGGACAAGGAGGGGGGGTTTTATACAAGCTAACCCCCCAACCGCCTCCCCCTAAATCGGGGGGTGGTTAGATCTCACTTTGACCGGGCCCGGGCGGACCGGGTCGGGTCGGGTCCCGAGCCCGGGTGGTGCCGAGCTCGGGTAGGACCGAGCTCCCCGACCCGAGCTCCACGTAGGTCGGCTCGGGTCGGGGCACCTCCATGGTGCTCCGGGTCCGCGTTGCTCTTGTGCACCTCCGTGGTCTCCCGGGTCCGTGTTGCTCTTGGGCAGCTCCGTGGTCCCCCGGGTCCGTGCTGCTCTTGGGCTCCACCAAGGTGCTCCGGGTTCATGTTGCTCTTGGGCACCTCCGTGGTGCCCCGGGTTCGCGTTGCTCTCGGACACCTCCATGGTGCCCCGGGTCCGTGTTGCTCTTGGGCACCTCCGTGGTGCCCCGGGTCTGTGTTGCTCTTGGGCTCCACCATGGTGCCCCGGGTCCATGTTGCTACCCCGGGTCGGGTCGTGGGTATAATATATCCATCACGGTCCATACCAAACCTTCACTTACTTTAATGTAAAGGACCCTGTCGTTATAAGGGTAGAAGTCGGTTGGAATGTACACATCGTTCCCACTAGGGGGCTCGACTTGAAGGCCTTAGCAAAATGAGGGGTGAATCCAAATTTGGATGCATGCTTGAATGTGTAGAGTGTGTGTTCCCTTTGTTATTCATTTTATCCTTTTTAAGGGGTTTTTGTTCCTTTTGGATATTCCTTGAGTTGCATTAGTAAAGCACATTTCTACCCCACTTGTTCTATGATATTTAGGATTTCCCCCTCTCCGGTTTCTAAGCACATTCATCTTGATGGACCAGTAAGTGAACTAAGTTAACCTTAAACTATCTTGAGAAGTATCTTTGGCAATTAAATGATTATTGATTTGATTGTGAGCCTGCTTGAGGACAAGCAAGAAGTAAAGTGTGGAAATTTTGATAAGTGCTAAAGACACTTAGTTTTAAGGTCTATTAGGGGTGTGATTTGAGCTTAATTATGATCCCTTGTGTATCATTTTAAGTCATTTAAGCTATGTTGTGTATTTTGCTTTAAATTACCACCGCACTTTGTGTTTTTATGAATTGTAGGAAGCAAGGTTTCAGCTAAAAGAAGGCATGGCGGCATATTCCGGAGAAAAACAAGATGAGGAAACATTCCGGAGCTGAGCCAAGAAGGAGCAATGCACGTTGGACATGCGTTGAGAAGAAACAAAACTATCAACGCACGGCCCAACGTGCGTTGGACAAATGTGCAGAATAGTTAAGTGACCGGTCAACACACGTTGGCCGGGCGTTGGGCGCGCGTTGGAACGTCACTTATGGAAGGGAGCTATTTAAGTGGCTAGATTAGATTAGAATAGGGGAGGGCAGACTTTTTAGAAGTTTGATTTCAGATTTTAGAGTGGGAAAGATTTCAATTCCTAGCTCTACCTTCTCTCTAGCTTAGTGAAGATCAATTGAAGGAGGAGATTGACACTCTTCAAATTCAAGAGATCAACAATTGTATTCCAATTTGGTAAACTCTTTACTTTAGCATTCCAATTGTTTGTTTGATTTCATAATTGCAATTTCATTTTCTTATGGCTATGTGTGGCTAGTTTAGCTAGGGTTTGAATTGTGATGTTTTGATTCATGATGTCAAAGTGACTTAATTCTTAGATTAGGAATTTAATGTTGCTATGCTTTGGGAATCTAGTTGTTGTGGATTGCATTGTATGCATCCTAGGAGCTAGGCCACCTCCTAGGGTTGTGCTAAGTGTGAAGCTTCCACTACTACAGAAAATGGTTTTAACGTTAGTTAAAATAGCCCATTTAACGTCGGTTATCTTTCGACGTCGACTTTAGAGACGTAGTTAGTAAATGATACGACGTCGGTTAAAAAACCAACGTCGTATGTTTTTTTAAATTAAATTAATTAGCATATGACGTCGGCTTTTAGGGTAAAGCCGACGTCGTATATATTTATTATTTTTTTTTAAAAAAAAATAATTAACATACGACGTCGGCTTTTAGGGTAAAGCCGACGTCGTATAGTATTTATTATTATTATTATTTTTTAATAATTAACATACAACGTTGGCTTTTTGGTAAAAGCCGACGTCGTATAGTATTTATTATTATTATTTTTTTAAATAATTCACATACGACGTCGGCTTTTCGGATGTTAATTAAAGCCGACGTCGTATGTTATTATTATTTTTTATAATATATTCGTTTTATGGACTTCAGTTTGTGGCAATACTTCTATAGAATAGGCATTTTCTCGCAGAATCGAGTATGGATAGACAGGATAGTCCGGAGCACCGACTTGGCTAGCAACGAGGCGGTCTCGTTTGTGATTCCTTCGGCTTCCTCCTGGGTATGGCTTTTCTTTCTTCGTGAATGGCGAACTTCTCCCACGGCTTCTACTTCTTCGTGAACTTCCACCATATTAGCAAGTTTACCGCTATCATTAGCAGTCAAATTAGACACATCATTTGTGAATCTAACCGTAGTATTAGTCCCAGTATTAGCATCAACAGAGTTACGAAGTGTTGGCAAACTGCTTTGAGAAACAAGAGTAAGACCATTTTGAGCAGAATGGTTTCTACTAGCAGTCTCATTTTCACGACCAATGGAGCGCTGGAAGCCGGGGCAAGACCATCGCTTGGGGGCCTTCGAATTGATTTCAAGTCAGACGAAACAGCAGCCGCCGCCACCCCGAGACCAACGCCACCAACCGTTCTGTACTCCTTAGGTCGCTGGAGACTCGCCGATAACGAACCAAATCCCAGAAATTCTGGCGATCGCCGATTTACAATCTAAGTAGCGGAGGTTGATCAAGACGCATCCCTGGCCTCATCCATAGCTTCCGATGGTCCATGCAAGGAGTTAAACACCAGAGAAGCCTCTAACGACGGGTTCTGGATCGCGATATGAGGCTTCGCAGAACGCCATCGATAATGAAATTGTTGATGGCGATAATGTTTCTGAGGGGAGGTGAGGCCTTGGGAGGGTCACAAGGCAACATTGCCGGCTTGGAAGCTCTTGATCGCTGAAGAAGACAACAAAGATGCGGAAATGACAGACCAGGTGGAGAAAAAGGAAGAAATATGCTTATTATATTCAAGGCTATGTGAAATTCCAATTATGCCCATGGTTTAAACCGAGTTAAACTGATGGTCTCACAGAATGACTAAATCGACTAAGGGTCGAATAATTGAGGGACCAATTCTGTCCAAATTGGAAAGTAGGGATGACATTGCATT